GACCTGTTCTGTGAGCTAGTATTTGGTCTATCTTGGAGAATGACCCATGTGCAGCCGAAAAGAATGTATATTCTGATTTTGTGCGGTGGAACACTCTATAGATGTCTAGTAAGTCCATGCTTTCAAAAGCTTGGTTGAGTTCTAGTATTTCATTGTTGATTTTCTGCCTAGATGATCTGTCTATGAAAGTGGGGTATTTAGGTCCCCCACTACTATTGTATTAGTGCTTATTTGGTTTTTCATGTTACTTAATATTTGTTTTATATAGTTGGGGCGTTAATATTTGGTTCATATATGTTTATGATTGTCATCTCTTCCTCTTGAATTGTTCCCTTTACAAGAATGTAGTGGCCTTCTTTGTCTCTCTTAATCAATTTTGGTTTGAAATTTACTTGTCTGCAAATAAGATTGCTACCCCTGCTTTTTTCTGGGCTCCTGTTGTGTGGAGAATTGTTTTCCATCCTTTCACTTTCAGTTAATGGGCTTCTTTTTGCACTAGATGTTTTTCTTTTATACAACATATTGTTGGATTTTGCTTCTTAATCCATTCCACCAGTCTATTCCTCTTGGTTGATGAATTGAGGCCATTGACATTGATGGTTATCACTGATATGTACTGACTTATTATTGTCATGTTATTGTCCTTTTGTTGACTCTTTTTACTTTTTCCCCCTCTCCTTTTAGTTTCTTGCCTTGACTATTTGATTTGGTCTGTTAGGCCTTATGGTGTTGTGACCTTCATTGTCTTTTTCTAGGATATTGTTTAGAATTCCTTGTAGTGCTAGTGTGTTGTTCATGAAGTTTCTCAGATGTTCTTTGTCATGGAAGTATCTTATTTCCCCATCCATTTTGAAAGAGAATTTTGCAGGATACATCAGTCTAGGTTGGAGGTTGTTTTCTTTTAGGACTTGAAGTACCTCACTCAAGGCTCTCTTTGACCTAAGAGTTTGTGTTGAAAAGTCTGCTGTGATTCTGATGGGCTTTCCTTTGCACATAATTTGCTTCTTTTCTCTTACTGCCTGTAGTATTTTGTTCTTCTGTTGTTTTTCTGGGATCTTGATTATTGTATGTGTAGGTTGGCGACCTGTATGCCTTACTTATCTGCCTGTCTTATTCTTCCCTTCTGTTTGGGAAGTTTTCTGTCATTCTGTGAACAGCTTTTGTAAGTCATTTGTATTTTTCTCTACTTCATGGATTCCTATAAGTCTTATGTTATTCTTATTTGCATCATCTAGGAGTTTTTGGATTGATTTCTCATGATCCTTTACTGTTTTTAAGAGGCCTCTCTTTTCACAGTCACTGATCGCAGTCCTATCTTCAATATCTGAAATTCTATCTTCACAATCTTTTATTCTGTTGTGTATACTTTCAATAGAGTTTTTAGTCTCCTGGATATCCATGTGAATCTGTTTTATGGATTCCATTTCTTTCCTCTGTTGGGCATTCATTATTTCCATTTCTTTCTTATGCTGGGCCTCCATGGCTTCTATGATGGTCCTGAACTCATCTATTTTTTTCTCAGTTTCTATTCTAGAGTCTCAAATCATGGCTTCCATTTTGTTCACCATCTCTATGGTTATCTGGGAAATAATTTCTGTTTTGAATTTTTCTAAAGCCTGATTGATCTGTTTTGTTACTTCCTGTGCTATGGGTTCCGGGTGTCCTGCTGGTTCACTATCAGCCTTTTCATCCTCATTTGCCCTACTGTTTGACATTGGTGAACTGGAAGTCTGACTTTGTGTCTTGCTTAAGTGTTTTCTCATTTTTATTCTTGTTGTCGGGTTGTCCTTGGTTTAATTTCTGGGTTATTACTTTAACCTTCCTGATATAGTTGCGCTTTAGTTTTTGAGTCTCTATTGACTCATAGACATTCTTATTTTCATAATATTGGAGAAAACAACTCATTAAATCAATCACAATCCTTTATCCCAATTGGTGCAATCGCATCAGAATAGGATCAAGTACAACTTGCAAATTGACCACTTGTGGTCATCATTAATCTAGCACCTTTAAATCATGTGAATTAAATTAAAATCAAGAAGTAGCCCAAAATATGTTTGCAGTGAGTATGCTTTTCAATATAGCATCTTTACCATTTAGGATGGGGACTTAGACAGAGTTAGGATGAGAGGAGTAGATAAGTGAAAGAATTGGAGAAGGTTTCAAGTGAAGCTAGAGGACATAGAATGACCATACAATCTTTATGAAACTATTAAATTCAAAAGGGATAGAGTGCAAGAATAAGGGCAAGAATATATCCCCTTAACAGTAATAGGGGCTCACTTTCCCTTGAAACTTTTGACCCATGAGTGAGGTAAAATAACAGAAGAAAAGAACATAAAGAAAAAAAATGATAAAAGAAGAAGTCTGAGTTAGATCAGGAGCAGGAAGAGAAAGGGAGATGAGGGATAATATGGTGGAGCAAGAGACTGAGTTGGAGAAAGAGGACAACAAAGAGAAAGAATTTGCAGAGTGGAATGAGGAAAAGAGAAAAAAATGAATTTGAAGGTGCTTTTCAGACTATATCTCTGCTGTCATAATATACCACATGCATGGCCATGTGCAGACCCAAGTCCCCTGACCTCAGCTAGCCAATGGCAGATCCTCATGACTCAGACTGACCTCAGTCCATAAGGCCCAAATTGAGTTCCCCAACCTGCAGGGTTGAACTCCATACAGTTCTATTACAGGTTTCCCCCACCCTTTCTTTAGAGATGTTCAAAGTTTGGAGCTCAGAAAAATACCCTTTATGGCCATCTCTGCCTCTGCAGAGTAGGTCCAAGGACTGGCCCAATCAGGAGGTCTGAGTGTGGGGTGGGTTGAGGTGGTTTCAGAGGCACAGCTACCTTCCTTGCTGGAGCTGGTGGTGGAGCAGGCAGGGGAGGGCATGGCTACCTGGTCCGCGAATGGGCCCAAGCAGGCTGGAGGGAGAGCAGATCTCAGAGCTGCCTTCCAAATCTCACCTTCCTTGCTCACTTCTGTCCCTTTTTAAGTGATGGGAGAAGAAGAAAGGGATTGTGGACTGTCTGGAAAATCATTGCCCAAACAGTGCTTACTGCTCTGATCTTATCCTGGAGAAGGACTCTTATTCTAAATAACTGCCTCATGAAAAAAGGGGGCTTTTTCCTGTCTTTCCCTGCTGTTAACTACAACTCCTTAAGTTCCCAAAATGCAGCTCAACAACCCACCCTACAAAATATGTTGGTGAGCTCTGTGAGTAGCCACTACATGTTTTATGTCACAGACATTTTCTTTACTCATTATGATGCCCCATCTAGCCCCTTACCCCCATTTGGGGACAATGGGATGTCTTGCCTGGAATTAGGGACACAATAAAAAGAATGGAGCAGGTGAAGGGAGAGGGCTGAGGCTCCACGTGGACAAAGCTGAGGAAATGATGCAGGACAATGGTGCTTCAAGCTGGCAGGTAGGAAGGTGGCCACGGCAGAGATCTAGAACTGCCCAGGCTTTCTGGAGTAGGAGTCAAGAGTGGGCTGTGTTAGAGGGCTTCCCCAGGTGGTCCAGGTGTGCATCTTTTAAGTGCCTTTGCTGCCCTGTCTGGGCTGCTACAGGCTTCTTTTCCTAGGTGAGGGCTTTCTCTGGCCTCCCCTCAATTCAAGTCAAGAAAGTAAAGACCAGAGTTTGGGGACCAATTGCCAATCCTGAATGTCCTTGTTACCATTTCACCCTCAAAGGCCTATGAGGTCTCTCCTAAAAACAGGATTCTATAGGCCTGCCCTTCTGTGCCGAAGTTCCTGCTTACTGGGGGGTTTCCTGTACCTGCACCCTAGACTTTCACTACTCATTTGGCCCATTTTCCTAACCTGACAGTTATATTTTTTATAGTTATACAATCTGTCTCATCACTTTAATTAAGCAGTAAGTTATTTTGTGCTTAAGTATGAGGACTTTCTATGGCCTTTTACTAAGTATTTTATACAGATTGTCTCATTTAATCTGCATAGTGACCCCGTGATGTACAGACCATAATGTATTATCTTACTTTTGCTAAAGGGAATGAGAACAGAAATGTCCACAAACTTACCCAATGTTCTGGCTCCTTGTCTGAGTTAAGCAAATTATAACTTCTCTGTGCCTTGGTCTCACCTATAAAATGGGATGAATTACAGTACTTACTTCATCAGCACCATGAGAATGAACTAAGCAAATCTGAATAAAGTTCTGTGAACAGTACATGGCCTGTAAGTGTTTGCGAAAGAAACTAATGAACATCTAACTGGCGGAGCTGGATGTAACCAGGCCATTTGATTCCAGAGCACAAGTTCCTAATCATACCCACCTCCCCATGACTTCTCTCCTTATTGATTTGGTCCTATTTCTTCTGAAGCTTTGGCAAAGAATTTGATTTCTATTTTGTGGATGGGAAATTTAAGCTATAGAAGGCATGATCCAGCCAGGGCCATATACTCATTTCTTCCTGAGAATTCCATGCCAGACACTTCTTATGGGCTGGACATTTCTTCATGCTCCAGATACTCCTTGGAGCACTTTACACATATGATCTAATATAGTTCACATAGGCACTGTCATTCTTCCCATTCTACAGATCAGGAAGCTGAGACGTGGAATGGCCTAACTCTGCTATTATATCTGTCCCCTACCTGAACCCTTCCTCAGGCCTGGGGCCAACTAGTTCTGCCGATAAGACCCAGAGCAGGAACTCTGGCTGGATAATTGGGACACTGAGCACCAAGGTACTCTTACTGAGGGACGGTCCTTGTCCTACCTGTTCTGTTTTGGTCTGTGGCCATGGTCTCTACTGGACCCCAAATTGTAATACCTGCCTTGGCCTAACTTCCATAGTCTTATCAGGTCTTGCCAGCCTGGTCCATTGCTAGGATGACCAACCATCCTGGTTTGCCTGGGAACATTCTAGTCATAAAGCTGAAAGTCCTTTTTTTTTTTTTTTTTAGAAGGAAACCTCTTAGCCCTGTGGCTGTTTTCTAACCCAGTGATGTTTTGGTGTTTGGTGATAGTAATCCTTGCATTTTCCTATAGATTTCCAGAGAATATCATTTTAATTTAGCAACAGCTATAGCACATTTTAAACCACAAAAGCATCAGCAGTATGATCTGGGATATTTTCTTTCCTGGTGGAGGAGATTGCTTGGGTTTATTTTTCTAAAAACTGTGTCAGAGAAGCATAACTAGCCACATCAGCAGCTCTCTCTCTGCCCTTTACATATGACCCACTGAGCTATTTTTTATTTTCTCTCCCTCCCTTTGCAATTTTATTCTCTCCCAACACTTCTAATGATTTCCTTTCTTCAGCATCATGCAGCATGCAGAGCTGGGCATGGCATTAGGGGACACAGCATGAGCAGAGAAGAGAGCATGGGTCTTGCTAGCAGAATGATCTGATGGGAATTTTGTCTCTGATGTTGTTTTATGTCTTTGTGCAAGTTCCTTAACCTCTCTGAATATAGTCTGCTAAAGAATAAAGCGAAAATCAGCAATGACATGTGTAAAGTGACCTGCAGAGAGTGGACTGTGATAAGCACTAAATGGTTGGTGAAAGACACCCAGTTCAGTACTGGAGTTCCCCATAGACCAGATCCTGAGGTTATAGGAGGTTGACATGTCCAGAGAGATGCTGCTGGGTGGCTGGCACATGCCTGTTGTGGCTTCTTGGTTAAATTCTTCTCTTCAATGCCACTTCCCTATAGAGAAGGCTGATAGCGTACTTGCAGGATCCTATACTCCATATCACTTTCCACAAAAATGAATCAAAATCTATTTGGGTAATTATTTATCTTCCCCATTTGATGATAAATTCCTTTAAGGTGGGCACTATGACTGTCTTCCTCATGGTGGTGGCTTCAGCAGCTAAATACTGATTTGCCTAACACACAGTAGACCTGCACAAGTACTTGCTGGATGAAATGAATCAACCATTCAAAGGTACTAGACTTGCCTACAAGGTAGCCTAGGCAGTTGTATACCACTAGATGGCACTACTGCCCTGCGTGTAATTTATCCTGCTGTTTTTCTCAAACTAGAGTGAAGCGGGGGCAAAGACTGAAATTGCAATTCTGTTTGGAGGTGGTTCTGCTGAGATTATGACATCTGTTTTTCACTGAGTACCAGGCTAGGCAATTTATAATGCATTACTATAGCTCTTATAGCGGCCACAGGAAACGGCATCCTCTTGTACAGGTGAGCAAATGAATTTCTAGTATTTCTAAGTAACTTTTCTTAAATGACACAACTTGTAGGGGATAGAATACGACTTGAACCCAGGTCTGTCTGCCTCTAAGCCAGGGTTTTTCCTACTGCTTCCACTTTGGTGAACCTGCTTCCTACCTTTATAGCCCCTTAAATCCTCACAGCTGTTTGTCCTTTTATCATTGACCCAACAAGAACTCTACATAGACATTGACTTCTAAAAAGGCAACACATAGGGGAGGATAAATGAGTCAGAGTAAACTCAATATCTCTTAGGCCAGACATGGATGAGCTAAGTGTAGCAGGTCTGAGGAAGAAGAAAGAACTAATGAATGAGTAGATGTCTAGTTCTTCATTCAACAACTATGTTCACACACAGGGCCAGGAAACTAGGGTGAGATAGGTTAATAGTCTGATTGGGACATAAGACGTACAGATACAGGATGGGACATGTGCATACACAGATATACCTACGAGCCATGAGAGTACTGTGTATAAAAAGAGAAGTAGGAATTTGAAGACCAGAAAGGTTTCTGTGACTGCAGTGGTCACAGATCTGAATGTCAGGGCTGAACATCACAAAGAAGATACCAGGGAGACTGCAAGTAAACAAGTCCCTTTCATGTGTGTTTGTTTGGGGAACGGGGATCAAACTTAGGATCTTGTCCTTGAGGTGCCACTGAGCTAAATCCCTGGTCCAGACAAGTCCCTTTCTACCCAAGGTGTAAACCAAAGACCAGAGGCATTGACATCATTTGAGAGCTTGTCAGACATGCAGACTCTTGTCCCACACTTCCTGAGCCAGAATATACATGTTCGCAAATCCAGGCGATTTACACACATTAAAAGATTTCTGGGGACCAATTGTTTGTATTTCTATGTCTATTTAAAATGTATCAATGTTTTTAATTCCCTTTTTAGTTTTAATTTTGAATTTTGATGTGATTTTAAAAGAATGATACTAAATGCTCTAAACTTCTGTCGTTGATCTCCGTAAGAACTGGTGGAAACTTCTAACAGCTAAATTTCTGTGCGCTAGTGACTTATTAACTGGAAGGAAAGCTCTTATTTCAAAGTATTTTTGCATGCAATCATATGAGGAGAAATCCAGAAACTGACCCTGAGAAAAACATCAAAGATAATTTTGATCCCTAACGGAAGTTTATTTTATGTTCATGCTAATTGGAGTGTATTCTAATTCTTTGCAAATGGGAAATATATGTGGATGTTGGAACCATAATACTAGACCAAGTTCCTCAAGTTCCTCTCCCTCTCCCCTCCTACCCATCATTTGGGATATGGGTTGTTGGAATATGCAACCTGTGATTACTCTGATGGACGTAACTGGACCTTAACCCTCCAGCACCGCTACAGGATTTGACTAAAAACTCAGTGAGATGTGATGGCGGTATGTTCCATGGTCCCATGTCTCCTATCCACTCATGGAAGCTGGGTGAGTCCCTTCAGAGACTACTCAGGTGGTATAAAGACAGTTGGGGCCACTACCTGGTAGCTGGGCAGTATCACTTCCCTGAGTCTCAGTTCAAACCGGAAGGTGAAACTGGATAGTTGTTGCTAAGTTCCTTCCCACTCCAGTGTTATACAAGCCTGGTTACCTGGGAGTTGGAGGATGAGTGGTTATTCATTAAACCCAGGATAGACAGTCCCAAATAGAAATGGATCACAACACCTTTACTTCCAGATAGAATAGTTGAGAAATCTGGTTACCATAGTAACTCACCTTCATGGACTCATTTATAAATTCAGTTCTGCAAAGTGCCAATATTCTGTACCCGCACCTGCAAAACTCCATGGTGTTTCCTTTGCTTTCATTCTGGCCCAGGGCTACGGTGCCAAGAATTGTCATAATCTGGAGAAGCAATCAGAGCTCTCAAGCTGCCTTTCAGGCTGCTGGAACAGAAGGTGCTGACAGGGTGGGAGCGAAGGAAGGCCTCCTCTCAGTTTACTCATTCTGCAGCCACCCTTCACAAGCTGCAGCAAATATTTTGTGATGTTGCAAGATGTTACAAGAAGTGCAAAGCAAGCTGTGATTCAGCTGGTATGAGGACTCTGCAAACAAAAAAAAAAGAGTGATCCGTTTTGCAGCAGACTTCTGTCTTCTGCTGAAGTCCACAGGCTGGAATACTAAAAGAGAGAATTCTGAATGACATTGCTGTCGTTTATTTTACATTTGCTAATCAAGACCAACTTAAAACCCTTTGGCCTGGTACATACTGATTTGTGGGCTGCAGACCCCTAGGAGATACAGAGTTACTTCAAGGGAGCTGTAAAACCATCTGCATGTTTTTTCTGTAGATTGAATGACAGATGTGCTCATATAATGTGAATTACTTTTCAAATCACCATGGATGTCATTATGACGAGTAAAAGAAATTAGTGTGCAATGTTACTGAATATATCTGAGCTTTCTGTTATGTATTCCTTAATCAGCTGATAGCAAAATAGAATTAATATCATGCTTGAACTTAGGAAAAGTTTTTTTTTTGTAATGTTGAAATGAAGTCTCCATTTTTCAGAATATTTGTCTTGGTCCTTAGGGCAGAGAATAGGGACATTTTGCTGTCAAGACAGAACCTTTTCCCTGGTTATTGGCTCCTTTCTCATGGTAGGCACCGGACACCACTTGGTTTCTGAGAACCTCAGCACCCACTACGAAGACATCTAAGTGGCTACTTGAACATACTTGGCTGTGAGAAATGCCAGCCCTGGGTATAAGTAAGCTCTGAGCAGTGGATACAATTCGAAGTTGACACATTTATGAGAAATGGAACCTCATTTTGATGGCAGGAACCCATTTCATTGCATTGTCAGAAACTGAACCTCAGGGAGCTCATGGCTTTCCATCTTCCCTTTCCCTGGTAGCGTATCTAGGGCAATGACGGTGACCCTTTTGGAGCTTTTTCCAATGATACAAACAGCCCACTACAGCATGTGTGCATAGGTTCTCCACCACTGGTCCAGGGAGGGGCTCTCTGTAAGGTATACAGTAGGTGACAGGGAGTATGAAGCATGAATTCTTATCCTTTTATGGGGTATCTGTCAAGACATCCTTCACCCTTGTCTGCATGACCCTTTAGGACCACAGTGGCTTCCATTATTCTGGCATCCTCTAGGCACCAGAAGATGAGCTTCATGGAACTATATATACATGTCAGCCTAACGTCTCTTCAGCGGGGACCCGTTGAGTGCCTATTTCTTGGAGGTCTTGCCACTTTCCTGAGGCTCAGCTGAGGATGCCAGGAATGTCTTCGCTGTTCCTAAATCCCATAAAATATGTGGGACTGCACCACCTTCCCAGGAGAGCATGCTGTAGGACACAGGACCTCTTCACATTGCTACAATTCCATTTTCCCAAGAAAGTTCTCTCCCAAATTCTTTTCCTCTTTTCTACTCTCATCTTCCAAATATTGTCTGTGCCACTAGTTCATTTGCTGATTTGTTTCCTTCCAGTAAGGGCAACTTTTATTTCTCTGCCTCTACCACCTGTCTTCTGTAAGACAAGAAGCAGAAATTAGGCCAGCTCTGCATGACACGGAGGAATAGAAAGGTAAACACAGGGTAGAGATTGGCTACTATTATTCTGGCACATATTTAAACTAGTATAGTCTTCATGGATCCAGAGACTGCAAGAGAAATCAGTCCCAAATGAAATGAGACACTGAGCAGAAACTGGAGGAATATTAGAAGAATCCACCCGCAGCAGTGGTGAAGTTTTTCTACAAGCTTGTGACATTTTCTGTACTGTGGAACCCAGAGCTAAGTGCCTGGACTTTTGGACACAATGGTGAAACCAAGGGATTTTCCTAAGAATTGTGTGAACAATGAAAGCTTCATTAGTTGTATATGGCAGTCCTTTAGCATATCTGCCTGGAGTCTTGGAGAGGCAAGGAGGGAAAGGAAGAAGGGAAAGCAGCTGCTAACTGCCAGGGCTACTCCCTTGAGGCTCTGTCCTTTCAGACTCTCTCTGGAACTTCCCTGCCTCTAGGGATGTTGGAAACACAGATACTTTTAACTCCACAGTTTCTGACCTACCCAGGTCTGAGGTATCTTCAGTCACTTTTTCATTCAAAACCATTAAACTCCTATGGTGGAGTACCTATGGGGAAACAAATAACTCTATTTAAGCCTTGATGACTTTATCTGAAAGTTTTATTGAAAAAAGATACTGAGGTTTGGATTTATGGAACTTACAGCATAGTTGGGGATAGGAAGAGCCCCTGAAAAGATGGGGGGCAAACAGGCTCAGTGTTATGATGGGGAAAATACAGGCTGTAGGGTACACTGCAGAAGGAAACCTAGCAAAGCTCTAAGGTGTCAGAAAGGCCTCCTGAGCAGCAACAGTGGAAACTCAAGAGATGGAGGGGCAGAGCACGATCTGAAAGGCCAGGGCAGAGGCTCCACCATCTCTTAAGCAGGCAAAAGCAGCTCGCCCAGCTGTAACCAGGCCCCAAATTTCCAGTAGCAGTGATGGCTATCCATTTCAAATTTGGTGGTCATAAACACACGTTTCTCTTGTTCAGAAAGCACTAACTGCTTCAGGCTAGGCGAGGAGATTCGATTTCCTGGTTTCTTAGCTGTAGGAATTAGAAGCCTACGGAAGGATCTCAGCACTTGGGAGGCTGAAGCAGGAGGATTGCTGTGAGTTTGAGACCAGCCTGGGCTACATAGTGAGTTCCAGGTCAGTCTCAAGTATATAGTGAGACCCTGTCTCAAAAAACAAAAAACAAACAAAAAAAGCCTACAGAAGGAACGTGTGTGTGTGTGTGTGTGTGTGTGTGTATGTGTGTCTCCTTCACAAACATAAAGCCGTACACTCTCTTCCCTCTGCCTCTTGAGCGGAGAGAGAGTGGCAGCTGCCTTAAATATCCTACATTTCAAGGAAAGAAAGTTTTCTTGGGAAAAAAAAAACCTGGGAGAAACTAGAATGCTAAATTAGAATCTAATGTATTTTACCATTAAACTTCTAGCTAAAGCTTAGTTCCAGATGGGTAGCCTTGGCCCTCACCTGAATATGGGTAAATTCAGTTTGTTGAAAATGATTCACAAACAAACCAACTTAGCATTTATTTTATAAGAAAAAGACAATGTAGAAGGGTAGAAGGCTGTGTGGCCAACTAAACTGGAAGGAAGGATTGTGTTCCAGCTGTGAAGAGTGAAAATTAACATCCTATTTGGGGAACCTCAACCACATCATCTAAAGGCCAACTCCTCCATGTCATGGAAATGAATCAGAAGACTGAGATTGGAGAAAGGCCTGCACATTCCAGATCACACAGGAAATGATTACGTACTCTTCCTGAATGAATATAGCAAGAAAAATATAACCCTTGAATAAATATCCAGAACAGACTAAGTACATTTGGGTTAAACTGTAAACAATCATCTAGATCAAATTACTTATGATTTTCATCCCTGAGTGTACAATAACGTGTGCTTTCGTTTATGCCAATAAGATAATCTTTAGAGATGTCTGAGGGACTTCTGGCTCTAAATTTAATCCATATAGTGATTAAGGAATTAAGAAGCAATAAAAATCACCTGGAAAAAACAATGTACCACTACTTTGCAGCTATTAACCTTTTACATCAATCAAAAGTTTTCCCAAACACATGCTTATCATTTCTAGAATGAACTGGAACAGGGGTCTGCAAAATTTTCTTAAAGGGCCAAGGAGTAAATATTTTGGGCTTTGCAATGCTGCCGTTGTACACAAAGACAATCTTTTTTTTTTTTTTTTAATTGAGTTTATTGGTACATTTACAAAGACAATCTTATACAACGTGTTAACAAATAGCCATGGTTATGTTCCATAGAGTTATATAACTTTATTTGCAAAAATAGGCAACTTGTCTGATGGCCAGAGTTTGCTGACCCTTGCTCTGGACAATTATATAAATGTAGATAATTTATAAATCAGTTTGGAAAATTAATGAGTTCCTTAGAGCTCCACAGCAGACCAACTTCTGCAGTGCTGTGTCCTGGGTGCATTAGACCAGTAGCCGGGACACTGGGTCCTCAGTATTCAGGAACAGTTACATAAAGAGGTCTGGATGAGGACTCTCCTGCTCTCAGAGGCCTGATGCTTCCACAGGCAGCAGACTTGATTCTGGAATTGGGGAGAATTGTCAATTTGAGGCACAATCCACTTAGAGAAAAGGGAATAACTACACTAATCCAGTCCCACACCCTTTACTTTCACCTTGATAGTGGCTTTGGAAGGTAGCATGGAGATTATGAACCTGACACCTACTTCAAAAGTTAGGGTTGTATACCCAAAGTTCCAGCTTCTTCTCTAATTCAGATTCATTAAAACAAATATTTCTTTTGAGCCTGTGTAACACCCACTCCCCCTACTTATCCCCTGCCATAGCTGGCCACTTGGTTATGTAGAACTTGTACCCTGTTTTGAAACGTGGAGCTGGACTGTAATTCTCTTTTAGTGATTTGAACTGAAGGAGGGAAGATGCAGTTGGTGGGAGAGATGGAGCCAGAAGGGTCCATGTGGCCTCCTAGGCTGGAATGCCACTGTATAAGGTATGTTCACTGAAAAAAGGAGCAGTAGAATAGAGAAAGCATTTTATGTGTCTTTCCAGTTCTATAATCCAAGAAAGCTGGTTGTTCTTTAGAAATCCTTACATTCTAATGAGACCTCTGTGGGTTTATAAAAATCTCCCATTCATTAAAAAAATATATTGTTATTTTGTGTTTGAGATGGGTATCTCGTCACGTTGCCCAGGCTGGTTTTGAACTTGGAATCCTCCTGCCTTAGCCTCCTTTGTCCTGGGATTACAGGGAGCATCTCCATACCCAGCCCTCATTCTTTAGCTGTCCTAGGTGAGCCTCTTCTTAATAAGTTATAGCTGACTCCGAATCAAATGGTGCTAGAGAGAGCATTCAGTGACATCTCAGAAGGGCTATGCTTTCATAGTTTAGCCTTCATGGGGCCAAATGATCCCTAAAGTCTACTCTGTATTTTCCCTGACAAAGCTCAAAAGGGTGCCTCAGAGGAACAAATTTAACCAAACACAATTCCCCATGAGAACAAGGTCGGCTGTTTTCAAGGAATGCATTTGACATTTGATACATTTGTTGTGGGCTTTTTTCATGTTTTATGTTAAGAAATTTCTTTCTAGTCTAGTTTTCTAAGCGTTTCCATTTATTTGTTGACTTTCATCAAATTATTTTTCTGCACTTACTGAGATGGTCATGCAGCTTTCCTGTAACTTGGTAATGTAGGTCATTTACAAGATTTAAAAAAATGTTGGCCAATCTTGCATTTCTAGAATAAACCCACATTAGTCACAAAGTAGTATTAACTGTTATGCATTACTAGATTGATTTTCTAATATTTTCCATCTTTGCTCACGAGTAAGAATGACTTTCAAATTTCCTTTTCTTTAGAGTACTTGCCTGGTGTAGGTAGCAAGGTTATACTGGCTTTATGAGTGAGTTGAAGAGTAGCCCCATTTTTTCATAGTGTTTGAAAAAGTTGTAAGACAGGAATTATCTGCTACTAGAATTTTGGTGCAACTTGCCTGTAAAACTACTTCATTCCTTAATTCCTAGTTAAATTTCTCTTGACTAGAGAATCTTTCAAAATTTTATTCTCCAGTTAAGTTTTAACTGATATTCTTAAAGTATCCATTTACCCATTTTCAAATATACTGGCATAAGATAGCTCACAATATTCTGTTTGATTTTTGCTATGTATAATTTGTTTCATTATTTGTTCCTAAAATTTTGCCAGTTTTGCTAGGGGCCTGAGAATATGTCTTTACAATTAGCCAACTTTTTGTTCTGTTTCTTTTGTTCTATTTCTTTGATTGCATTTTTACATTATTTGTTGTTCTTATTTTTAGCCATTTCTTCTTTCTAGCCACTTTGAGTCTGCTGTTTTCCTAAGTTTGAGTTAGTTTATTCTCAGCTTTTCTCATTTTCCAGTATAAGCATTTGAAGCTATACATTTCGCTCTGAATTCCACAGTGGCTGTATCCTATAAGTTTTAATAACATTTTCGTTAACATTTGAGCCCTTATAAGTATCTCCTAATCTTCTGACTCTGACTTTATTTTTGAGACAGGGTCTTGCTGTGTAGTTCAGGCTAGCCTTGAACTCACTATGTAGCCCAGTGATCCTGCTGGGATTACAGGTGTGGCTTTGACTCATTATTTAAAATATTTTAAGTTTCTAATCTTTAAAACTTATCTACTATTGACCATGGTTAGAAAATATTTTGTGGTTATAGATTTTTTCTGGTATCAAATTTCTGATGAGTCTTATGGTTTAGTACATGATTATTTTTTATATATGTTCCTTACATGCAAGGAAGAATACGGCCATGTTTTTATATATCCATGGGATAAAGTCTGTTATCTGTATTCCCGTTCTTTCTGGATTTTTATTTTTGACTGCTTTATCTAGCAATTACTCCAAGAAATGAGTAATGTCTTTCACTAAATAGTTCCATTTTTTGCTGTATATATTTTGAAGCTATAGTATTTATTGGCATACATGTTAAAATTTTGTTGTTCTTGGAAGCTTGAACCTTTTATCATATATTTTTGGATTTTTTTGTTTTGTTTTTTGGCTAGTATTTGTGATGCCTTTTAAAACACACTTTAGATCTGAAGGGACCAACAGAAGCTCCTAATGTAAGTACTGGCTTTGCTGCTACTTAATCCTTTGAATTGGTACTTTCCCTTTATTTCTGGCCTCTGAGGATTATCATTTCTTCTTCCTCATTTAATCATATTCACATTTAAAAATTACGTATGTATATGTGTGTACATATAATTCTCTGTATGTTTATGCAATACATAAATATTTGCCAGATTTCATATTGTTTATGTTTTCTCTGGGCAGCTTATTCACAACACTGTTGCAAACTTAAATCCAACTAGTTAATCTTTAAATTGCTGTAACTATAGGGGCCAGGGATTGGTTCCGCCACCTGCTTCGCAAGTGCAAGGACCCTAGTTTGATCGCCGGTACCAAAAAAAAAGAAAAATGCTGTAAGTACAAATTTTTTTATCAGGATGGCAAGTGAAAAACTAAGATAGAGCATCACTGCCCCCTGGTGGGGAGACCTACTATTACCACGTTGAAATGAGCCCCATGGCGTCTGGTACTGTTTCATTTGAGTTTCTTCCGGTTTTTGCTAAAATCCCTTGCTTTTGAATTGGTCGCTTCTTTTAGTTACTGTTCTTCCCATGTATTTTCCTTGTTCCTATTCTCTGAACCTACTTTACAATTTTACATTAATTTTATGAGTTCTGTATCAAGTTCTTGCTTATGAACAAAAATTTCGGAACCAATGACAGCAGCCTGAATAGGGATAAGAATAAAGCAAAAGTCCAAGAAATGTTGAAAAAAGTACTTAGCACAATTTGCTAAATGTGTCTGTGAGACAGCGTACGTACACAAGCTCCTAAGCTTTTTTTCCTTTCATGACAGATGGATAAATGACATTTTCCAGCGTAGCTCTCCTCTGAGCTTACCCAGTTTTAAACTTAAAAATTTAAAAATGCATACATAGCCAATATAAAAAAACTTCAGAGTTCTACAAATGAGTAACTATACTGATATTTGGAGAAAGAGTTCATTGTGGAACAAGATATAAATATGGAATGGGGGGAAGCAAGAAAAAACCCTGGGGAATTGGACTGGAACTGGAGATCATCAGTCAAATTTGTGAGTTTTAACATATAGATTTCACAGTTCTGTCAAAGGAGCCTAAAATCAGTGACAGTTGAGGAGGCCCAGATATTAAGTGACTAAACATTACTCTCCATTACAGAAAATATAGGGTATTCCTAAGAATAAAGGTATTTGTTGAGAGCATTTCTACATAAATTTCAGGGAAAAATATTTCATAATTAAAGTATGACTACAGCTGTCTAAGGCCCAATGTTGCCTTGTCCAAGAGCCAGCTACGGCATGGGAAAATCAACTCGGTTTTGCCTCCAGTCACGGCTGAGGCCTCAATGTTCTGTGATGCTGTGATACTCAAAGGCAAGATTACACCAGCCGAAGACATCCTGGTTCCTCGAGAACCCAGCAGTAACATGAGAGAGAAAGGTTTTACCCAGAGAGGGATGAGTTCCTTTTCAGCCCAACTCATCCCACCTACTGTCCCGGGAATGCTCTCCTTTCCACCCTCATCACAGCATAGATTTGCATCGACATAGGGTCACCTCTGCCCCAAGTCACCGAGGTGCCTCCAATTACTGTGTGTACCCAGTAAATGCTGGCAGGAACGAGAGTCTCGGTCTTTGCCCACTCTGAGGCAATGACCTCCCAGCCCCCAGAAACTTATATATATACACTTATAGTTAGAGAAATAAATTATTCCAGGGCTGAGGTAGGAGGAAAAACCCCCACAAATCAAGGTGAATGTAGAATATTCTGTGCTGGAAAATAAGAAATTGCTCTAAGAATACGAACATGTCAAAAAGACCTAGGAGCCACTTGAAAGATCTGATAGTGAAATCTAGGACAATTTGACATGGAAACAAATGACAGTAACAGACTGAATAATATAGCAATCTGTGAGTTTATACTAATATAAATGAGTGAGAAAGGTCTTCCTTACAGTAGAATAAATGCAGAAGATAAAATTGAAAAATATCGGCATTTGGCAAACACAAGTAACAATCCATCCAAGAAGTATAACTATATGTTAAAATTGGTGTATGAAAGTTTGTTGAGAAACAGAATATAGTCTCAAAATATCTTCCAGCAAGATGTTTGTTAATGTAACAGAAAAATAAAACAAATTCACAGTAGACATCTAGAAGATGCCACAAAACTGACATCCTTGTAACAAGATAATGCCATGATACAATGTATTGAAAAGGACAGTGTCATTTCCGTGGTATTTCCTGCCAAAAATGCATGATCTTCATCTAATTACGAAGAACCCAGATTAAGGGATATTCGATAAAATGTCTGGCCTGTGTGCTTTATGGCCATGGCTTTTTTTTTTTTTTTTTGTACTGGGGATCGAACTCAGGACCTTGTACTTCCGAGGCAGGCAGCAGAACCACTGAGCCAAATCTTCGGCCTGATGGCATTTCTCAAAGACTACCTGAGAACTGGTCCAGAGTAAAGGAAACCAGGGACATGACAACTAAATGTGATGTTATTATCCCAACAGGATCCAAGACCAGATTTGTTTTCCTATAGCAAAATAGGGAAGACATTAGGTAACAGCATTGTAACTGCTAATATTATGATTTGGTAACTGTACTATGATTATGGGGAAACATCCCTATTCTAAGGATATAAAAACTTAAAAAGTATCATATCTGTAATGAACATTCAAATAATTTATGAAAAAAGCACTTATTCTACACTGGTGATAAAGGGAAAACTCTTCCTTACAGAATAACTAATAAATTCAGAAAGAATACTGGATTTAGAAAAGTCACGATTCTGCAAACATTCTGGTGCAATTATTCATGTAAGAATGATCAAAGGGTGCTAAATTTAAGGAGGGCAGGTGTGATGAGGAATAGATTTATCAACATGGTCTCAAAATTCCTCCTTACAAATCACACACTACTTGCAAAAGGAAATACAGTAAGCATGCAAGTGTGGACATAAGACGTCATCTTACCTAATTGATCAAAATTAGCATCACAAATAAGGGCAAAGGGATGTTCTGGACATTTGGATGTGAAACCTGGCACATGCCACTTACACTAGTCTCACCCACCCTGCACAACCTAGATCGAACCAGAGGAAATGTGGCCAAAAACCCAAGGGAGGGATGTTCGCCTCTGTTACTGTCTCATATTGTTCACACACATCTATATTACAAAAGACAGAGAAAGGGTGAGGAACTGGTCCAGATAAAATAGTCACGACAGTACAATATGACTCTGGACTGGATCCTACTGAGTTACCAATGGGACAAATAAAATTAGAATAGAGACTGTATATTAAAATATTGTGTCAATGTTAAATTTCTGAATTTGATAACTATATTTAGGTAAAATAGTATGCTTGTTCTTCAGAAGTACAGACACAGAATTAAAGAGCAAAGAAAAGGATGTCTGCTTACATATGCTCAAGTGGGTACAGAAAATACATTATCAAAGGAGAGACAATGATAATAAATATACAAAACATCTAAAAAGAAATCAAAGTGCAGAACAATGCATACATTATTCTTCAACTTAAAATTCTCAAAACAAACACAGACATAAAAAAAAAAAAAAGGAAAGAAGGATGAAAAGCTGGGTGTGGTGGTGCACACCTGTAATCCCAGCACTAGGGAGGCTGAGGCAGGAGGATCGCTGTGAGTTCAAGACCAGCCTGGGCTACATAGTGAGTTCCAGGTCAGTCTCAACTACACAGTGAGACCCTGTCTCAAAAAAACCAAAAAACCAAAACAAACAAAACAAAAATGAACACAAATATGAAAGTACATATATACGTATATTCCTAAAATTCTTAGTAACTTTTACATTCCCAGATAGAACTAAATGTACAAAGATATTATGGAGTTTGGTATAGGATGGAAAGGGTTAAGTCTCTCCCAGAGAAAATAGTACAAATATTCAACATATGTGTACACAAACTTCTACTCACACATATAATCTATCATTTTGGTGGTTAACTACTTGAATGAATGTATAAAACTGACAGGTATCCTACTGGTATTTGTTTCTAGTATTTTAATGTAATCTGAGATTTTAAGACATAGGTTCTATCACTGTTAAATTTACTTTAATAAAAGTTACATTTGGTCTTAATTCTGATATCTTATTTTCTTATAGTTTCTGTATTTATATCTGCTTTTTGAAAAGTATTTTATGTTCATTTTCTGTTTGGGGATTTTTCTTCTCATCCTAGCAGTTACTTCTACTTAGTTTATGACGGTCAGTATTAGATAATATGAAGACTACTAACACTTATATTCTTGTCTGAGGTATAATACTAACAAAAATTTCCAGAGAAGAACCCACTCATGGAAGCTACTCAAGGTGTAGACACAAAAAGTGAGTTGTGCAAATTCAGGTCCCAGCTGATCCCTGAGAAATGTACTGTTCTCAAAGTCAACTAATCCAATTTTTATTGGATCTGGAAGGCTCTATGAACAGGAACAGGTCCTAGTTTGAGTTCCTTGTATTATGATTTTAATTAAAAACCACAAATTAATAAAAGCAGGTGAGGATACTTTTGTCTTCAAAGATATTTATTATACTTTGCATTACATTATCCTTGCAATCTCTCTAGATATGCATAAGTAACCGTATATCCTAGAAACACTTTGTGAAAAACTTGCTGATAAATTGAACTTTTCTTTTCACAGTAATTTTAAGACAATAAAAATGTAAAGTCTATACCATGTATGTTATTACATTATCTATAGTAGTCTACACATTTTATAGTATCACATATTATACAAATGGCATTGGAAATGAGAGAATACCTTTTTGGTTTTCTATTGTAGGTTACAAGTTTTAGAAGTCCTGAACCTGAAGGCAGGATAAGAAAAATTTTCATTTGAAACTTCAGCATAGTCTCTTTACAGTCTACACTATATTAAAAAAAAAAGTCAAGATATGTGCTTTGTTCTATTTATTTCTTTGAAGGCTGGGGAAGCGGTAACAAAAAAGTTTGTTTTCTACTTCAAAGAGCTTTTGCAAAGACTGGCGGTTCGTTTTCATTACACATGAACACTGTTCTCATGGCTTTAAAGGCAATCTAAATTCAAGGTCATACATATGTGTTTTCTGAAATCCAGTATTTATCTGGACACACGTTCTTATTTACATATGAAGGAAAGGAACTAGCCCTTTGGCTTCAAAAACAAATTTAAAATAAATCACAAATTCCACTTGTCTTTGATTTGGGTCTGGACTCATTGTTAAGGGACCATTCAGCTATTGTGGCCTCAATCACTGTATCTCAGGAAACTGCAATTAATTAAGGGACTGCTGATTCAAAGAACTATGCTTCCAATTAGGGAATGAGGGAAGAATTCTAAATCCACACATTCTAAATAACTAACAATCTCATTTCTTCAATATCCATAAATAAAGTAAATGAAGGGGATAAAGATTATATGAATGTTTAAAAGTCCATTGAAAACACAAGAGTTTTTTTTTTTTTCATTAAATTTGCCACTTATTCTATTTCAATAAAATGCTTATAAGGAAAATAACCACTTAAAGCAAAAGATTAGTCTCAGAATTTCTTGACAGCCTAAGAAAGGATGAAGAACATCTGTTATCCCAGCACTCAGGACGCTGAGGCAGGAGGATCACCACAAGTTCAAAGCCAGCTTGAATTGCATAGCAAGACCCTGTCTCAAAAAAAGAGAAAAAGGATGAGGATCAACTACCCTCATTTAAATTTAATCACCTGTCTTGAAACAGATTACTCTGCAAGTTAAACATCTACATTATGCCTTGAAAATTCAAAGCAGAAAGTAAAATTATACAAAGCCAGAAATTTCACCAAGACAGCTAGACAGATGTTTGCTTGTAGTTTTTGGTATCCAAAACCTTTTTTCCACACATCGCACAGATGCCTGAAACGAGAAAATGTGAACAGTCAAAACCAATATGAACTGTTTGGGTCATTTATGTCAACCCTGAAGCTTCAAGTATTATTGAGCAGTATCAGAAATGAGAAAAAGAAAAATAAACTTTAATTATGAACATATTTTACATTCTATTTTGAAAAAAAGAGTATTTCACGGTACTAACAAAGGCCATTAGTTTTCTGCTATCCAAATCAGCAGCAAATAAATTAGGCTGGATGACAGAAAAATGATATTAAAAGAAACTTACCTTTTTTGTAGGCACAGCCTTGGCAATAATGAGAACCTGGCTGATGCACAGAACTTTTACAAATTCTGCAAGTGGAGAACTTATTCTTTCCATAGGGATCGAATCTAGAAAATTTTTTTAAAGAAGAATGTATATTACAATGGAAATGCTCTGACATCCACTCAAACAACACCCATGCCTAAGCCATGCTCACCATTTCCTCTCTCAAATTCCAACTGACAGGCAGCCCTCTCCGCTTCTTCCGTGTGAACGCTCTACTTACACAGCATCGGCTGTATTTATATTTATTCCCAAACCTATTCCTGTCACTTGAATTTGTTACTCTATTTGTGTGATATAAGTATTAGGAAAACTGATGAAATATGAGTGCGAAGGAGTGGCTGATACCATAGAAAGTAACTGACTGCTTTAGGATGACAAGGTAAGTGTGAACCATTAAAAACACAACTGAATTAGGTGTGGAAAAGAAAAGTGCTGAAAACAAGGAGAAAAACTAAGTGGAAGTACTCCACACTTTGCAAGTGTCAGCTTTTGCTCCACTCTAAAGATAACAAAAAAATACAGTCTGGTTATAAATTACACAAGGAAAGTGACATAGAACTCTCATCAGTAGACCCCCCGCTCAGAAGATCTTGTGTCTCAATACCAGATGATGGATGGATGCATCTACAGTTATGTACTTTAGTTTAAAATACAATAAGATGTGTGCACCTTTTAATGGCCCACATTCCTGCCATTTTCAATGAACTGTCACAATCCCTTTAGCTAAAGGAGTTTCTAAAACATAAAAATGTCATTGCATAATGACTGGAATGAAAAATAACTTTAGGAGGACAATTTTTCCCTAACTCGGCAATGCTGCTTCCCTAACCATGAAATGAGTTTTGTAATATTCTCACACAGAGGCCTAGGCCTGGTGTCTTCTCTTGGGTTACATGAAACTGCTCACTTTCAAAGATTAACTTGACCAAACCCAAAGACCAACACTTTACTCTCTACAGTAGGAGACAGACACTATTCTTTTTAAAAAGCTCAATTTATCTGGGCCTGTATGTCTAGTCTCCTTTTCCTTAAAACCTTATTTTATCAATTCTAAGATGTAAAATTTAATCTCTAAAATCACTTAACTGGTAAGGTTTTTCTTCCCTTAAAGTAATGAGGCAGCTCATAAATAATATATTGTAGATTCAAGGTAATATAGAGATATACTATCCACTGTGAGATACTTAGAAGACCCAAAAGTAATAGCTACTGTTTAATAATGTCATAATAAGTCTGGGAGCATAAAAGAGTTGCAAGTACATAAAACTGTACAATCTGTTTACAAGTTGTAACAGTCAATAACAATTGAATGGTCTTAGAAGACATTAATAAGTCAACAACATACAGCATGATGCTATGGGGAAGACTGAGTCTACTATGCTGTTTTATATGCATTATTTAGTAAGCACCTCTTGTGTGCCAGGCACTGTATATAGTGAAAGCTTTACTGATGTTATTATTTATAATCCTTGGGAAGATGTCACAAACAGGTATTTATTCATTTAGCAAATATTTGAGTACCTACTCTGCCAGTTCTAAACATTACAGGTGAATATACCAGGTGAAGTCCCTACCCTTACCAATTGATAGGCTAGTAGGAAGAGACAGACAAATAATATGGAAGTGGGAAATCTAATGAAAAAGCAAGTTTTTCCAGATAGCAATAAGTGTTATAGAGAAAATTCAAACAGAGCATGGAGATAAGGGGAAGGAGAAAAACAAGCTCAAATGTTGGTTAGGGACTCTTCTTTGAGGAGGTGACATTGAGGGAGTAGCCTAGGAGGGGCCATTCAGCACCCATCTCTTTAGACTGGAGTGGGCCTGACATATGTAATGAGGACCCAACGATGAGGAGGAGTGCGGTACAATACGCCGGACAAGGGAGACACCTTCTCATGAAAGACCTCATCAGAACATGTCCGGGCTTGGATTCCATTCAATGGGGAAAAGAAAGCCACTGGAGGCTTTTGGTTTTATGATTTTTTTGGTGCTGGGGATTGAATCCAAAGCCTTGTGTACTCTTGGCAAGAGCTTTACCAGAGAGTTACATTTCCAGCCCCACTGGAATTGGTTTGAAGAAAAGAGACTACCTGGGCTTTCTAAAATACCATTGTGGTTGCTATGAGACAACTGTAGGAAACAAAAGAAAAGGCAGGGAAATGGCTAGAAATTATTTCTCTATACAAGGAATGACGGTTTGCACCAGGGCAGTAACAATGAAGTGGACAGAAGCAGGTGAATTCGTTATACTTTTGAGATAGATCCAGAGAAGCTGTGGATGAATATGGGAAGCGGGGAAAGAGAATTAGGAGCTTCTAGCCCTGAACAACTAGACTGGATGGTGCCACTAACTATAATAAGAAGGTCGAAGGAAAAAAGACGCTGCTTTTTGACATCAAATATGATGTCAGATAAGCAGTCAGATATAAGTTTGGAGCGCAGAGAAATCAGAGCAATGTTACAGATTGGTTGTTAACATGTAGTTTCAAATTAAAGCCAATGGACTAAAGAAACTTAGGAGGGTTTATAAAGTGAAAAAGAAAAAGTCTACGATTGAGTCTTGAGGCACTGGATTGAGAAGGAATGGCTGGAGTTGGGAGGAAACCAGGACAGAGGGGTGTCACAGAAGAACACAAAGAGTTGCCAAAAAGACTTATTAAGAGGTGAAGTCAGGTAAGAATGAAGATGTGGCCATCACTTTCAAAGGTCATTTGTGATCCTAATGAGCATTTTCTGGGCTGTAAGTATGACATGAGGGGCTGAAGGAGAAAATGAAACTTAAGGACAATGAAAAAGTGCCTAGCTGAGGTTTTTAGACAACTTCTGATGTGAAAAAAAGAGGCAAGGAAACTGGTGGCAGCTAGAAGGGTTCATGGAATTGTTAAGACTGGATAGCATGGTGTCAAAAACTGTTTTTAAGATAGGAGACATTTTTATTGCCCATTCTCAATGAAAAAGCAAAGTTCAAAAAGGTTAAGAAACTGGTTTATACGTGTGTGTCCTATGTATTTCACTTGAGTACAGCCTCAGGGTGCATTCATTTAGCTATAAATGTCTCTCTCTAGTTTATCATTCTTTACAGCTGAGTAGTACTCCATTTTGTAAAAAAAAACACACATTTGCTTTCTCCAGTTACCAGCTGATGGGCATTTGGGCTGCTTCCAAGATTTAGCTATTATAAACTGCTGCTATGAACATGGGCGCACATATATTGCTGTGGTACTGAACTGCTTCTGGTATGAGAAACTAAAAGTGTAAATGAGGACCAAAATGTATAATAGATAATGTGAAACAGGAAGAATAGGTTCAAAGGGGAAGGAGAAAGAGATGGATAAAAGAAAGAAGGAAAAGAAAAAAATGAGAAAAGGAAAAGATGAAAAAAGCTTCTGTAAATAGGGAGGAGTGGAGGGATGGAAGGGGAAAGAGGAATGGGGAAAAACAAGAACCAATGCATATCACGTACAGGTATAAATTCCCAATGATGAATGGGATCATAATGTGTACCTAAAATGTACCAATAAACTTAATGAATAATAAAAAAGACAATAAAGAGGTAGCACAATGGGCTGGGGATTTAGCTCAGTGGTTCGGCTGCCTCCCTCACAAGTGCAAAGACCCGAGTCTGATCCCCGGTACCCCACCCCCAAAGAGGTGGCACAACAACAACAACAAAGAAACCGGTTTAATTTGTTTAAGGTCACCGAGCTTGACAGTGACAGAATCTGGATTCCAAGTTAGGACTGACTTTAAAGATTACACATGATCTTTTCACATTTCCCTGCTGACTCTGATTTGTAGAATAATTAAGAAACAGGTAAAAATCAAAGTCATACTTTCTGGTTAAAAAAAAAAAAACCACATAAAAATTTAGTATTAATGTCTTCATATGTTGACACAGCAAAGAACAGAGTGAGCCAGAAGGTTGCTTAGAATCAAGTGAGATAGCTTGCTAGGAACTACCTAATTCTATATTTTATCACAGCGGAATGATATACAACAAATTCTCTCCAGCATCCTGAAATATTTTAAAAGGACTGGAAATGTACTACTGTTCTACTGATGCTGATACCCACCTTGCTTTTTTTGAAGTCAAGGCTTTATTTTCATTCAGTTTTCTTCCACCACTTTCTATATCAAAATATACATGTATTTTAGTGAGTTGCTTCTATGCATTTAATATATAACATCCACTATGTAGCAATTAGTTAAAAAGTTCATTCTTTGACTGGCTACCAATAGATCACCCTATATCTACATTTTTTAAAACTTCATTTAATAGCAAAGTTCTTCAGGTACTACCTAAAACAATTATTTATTAGGGAAACGAGAATTTTATAAAACACAATCATTTTATTCCTCAAATTCAAATCAATACTTTAGGAATGGGTCTGTATTTTCTCTACTGTAAAATCTAGAAGTCTTTACCTTGGTGTCATAGACTTTGATTATTTATAAGAAAGTATTTCTCCTCCTTTTCTTTGAAAACACACTCATGCGACATATTTAATATTAATGAAGGTGAACACAGTTTAGATTAGTTCAAGAACAAAAAAATCAGGTGAGGAGGGGACACTACATAGATTAATAAGCACTAAGTCAAATATTAAGTTTCAGTGATCATGTGAAAATCATTTATTAATTTTGTTATCTCCTGTCTACTATATTAGGGACCCACACATGTAACTGAGAGAACTAGGCAGAAAATATTAAATCACTGGGGGAGTTAAGTATTTGTGTTTGATACATAAAACACATTGAATACATAACAATGCATTATACAAACAATGTAAAAGCTAAAACAGTATTTGCACTACGTGTCTGATTCAATTTCTATTTACTAAAAGAAAAAATACCTGTGGTATTCCTTGCACCATCTTTCCATGTGTCTGGTGTAATAACAGTACCAAGTTTTTTTTCACCTATTATAACAAGACAGCAAAAAGAGAAGTAAATTTTACTAATAAATATACTATTTCATACTTGAGGTTCACAATGATGTCAGCAGTCATATAGCAGCAGGCACAATGCTGAGGTAGGGGTCAGAGAATTGACTGAAGATATTAAACATGGTGCAATGAATAAATGACCTGCAATAAAATTTATAGAACAAGACAGTTTACAATAGGCTTTCACTGTTAATACTTTAAAGAAATTTGATAAATCTGTTCATTCCATAAGCATTTACTAAGCATCTATAATAATATAAATCACTATACAAAGTCTTGAGAAAAATAAAACCATGAATCAGAAAAAGACTTTAGGGGAGATTACACATAAATTCATTAATTTCTCTAACAGTAGTCCATAACTTGGGTTCTATAGGTGGACCTTAGGAGATATGTGACGAAGATGGAGTTGTACATGAAACTGTGTGTGTGTGTGTGTGTGTGTGTGTGTGTGTGTGTGCGCATGTGTGTACTTTTGGAAAGTAAATGGAATGATATGTTGAAGCCAAGTACTTCAAGACAGTTAAATGGATTCACAGGGATAAAGAACAAAAGAAAATCCTTGAATTTAGTGATTAGGAGATTGCTGGTAAACTTCTGGCAATTCTTACAGTAGTGCACAAAGTGCTAAGAAGTAATTGTGAAAAATCTGGAAGCAATAAACATAACCAAGTCTTTAAAACAATTTTTAATGCAGGGAAAGAAAGAACTAAGGTCATAGCCTAAGACTGAAGCTTTATGCCTGAGAGACATCTCAGCTTATTTATAGGATGAGGGCAATGAGATGACACAGATTGGAGATTTAAAATACTAAAAGGTCAGATTTTTCAGAAGAGCAGAGAAGTAAAAAGTAGAAGAGCGAATGACCACTAATGACACATTGTGTTCCAGAACCAAATATATGTATTTTAATATCATACTGGACCTTGGATATTCAAAATTTTCATGTACTTTGGTAAATTCTCAGATTTTCCCTCTGTACTCCCAATTTCCCTCAGGAAAAAGTACTTATAGTGTAAAAAGAATTAAAAACATCAAGTGAAACAAGGCAGAATTCCAGTTTTCTAGAGTTAAAATGTACAGGATCTCATACACACACACACACACACACACACACACACACACACGCACACCCCTATAAATCAACACATGTAAGAACTGTATAATCTAAAAGACATCAGGGCAGATGTATTATCTGAAGGCATTTATACTACATTTAATGAAACACACAAAACTCCAAATAATTGCTTAAGGAAAGAGTAGAGTTAAAGGATGTCAATGACAAAAAGCATAATATGTCCTTTCCTTTCCTTTTCCTTGCTATGCAGTTCAAGCTGGCCTTGAACTCACTACATAGCCCAGGCTGGCCTCAAACTCACAGCAATCCTCTTGCCTCAGCCTCCCAAGAGCTGGAGTTACAGGTATGCACCATCATGCTCAACATAATAATGTGTCTTCTGAGTGATGAAAATGTTCTAAAACTGTGGTCATGGCTGCACCTATGAATGTTTCGAAAACCACTATACTGTATTTTTTAATTAAGTGAACTGTATGGTATAAGAATTAATCTACTTTTTAAAAAGCTTAATGTAAGACAACTATATATATGGCATATAACCTACAAAAAAAGAAAGATTATTAGTTTCACTCTTCCCCATGCAGAATGCAGCAGAGTTTAAGTCCAAAGGTCACATACTGGGGGAGGCTATGATGGAAATAATCAGTTTTTGGTATACACTAAGGCACTTTTATACTAAACATTATCTACATTATTTCAAGTTCATAAAGCTCCACGAATTATGCATTAGTCTCATTTTTCAGATGAGAAAATAGGGGCCGAGAAATATTAAGTAGCTTGTCCATGAATAATCTTTCACCTAACATAAGCACTCTGAATGAAACTCATGGATGTCTACCCAAAGTTTTATCTGCAGAAGGGTTACAAGCAAAATGGATCATATTCACTAGGCAATAACTGGGATGCTAAGAGGAGTTGAAACCTTCTCACAGAGGAGTCTGGTATGTCTAGTCTGAAGCTATTTTTAATCATATAAACAGCTCGTGAGGTTTAAAAAAATAAATACTTTCTAAAAATCTCAAGAGTTTGCATTATACTTATTGGGTGCTAACTATAAGGAGGAAAGACTGTTCTAAAATCCAGGAATGCCTGAATAGGCATTGAAGATGGCGAGGCTTTCCTACACTCCTGTTCCAGTACTCTAGTTATTCATGCCCAGATCTCACAAGGCATTAGAATGGGATGATAGCTTAACACTTCCAGATAAATTTAAACTTCAGAAGCCAAAAAATTGTTTTTAGTCAAGTATTACTAAACATCTTAATTTTATATCTGACAACTCTAGATGCTAACAAAGTGACTTTGAAAATTCATTTGAAGCCTGAGGGAGCCAGTTAAGAGGCTGCTGTAATTGATAAGATCTGGAGTTAGTGGAAGGCCAAGGAAATAAGACTATGAGGTGCAGACCTGAGACCATTCTGAAGACAAAATACATAGGTCTAAATCATCTCTGGGGAAGGGCAAGAATGATGATCATGGGGCAGGGTAGGAGGACAAAGACTGGAATCAGAGACCCGTGGGTGAAAGAATGGCAAAGGGCCAAGTTCCCAAGAGGATCTAGTTAGGTACTTCCCAGCCTTTACCCACAGAAATGATCTCCTAACTCACATTTTTCGCACACCATCCTCCTACCGACTGTCCTCTCAACCACAGAAGCTCCTCCAGCAGCTTGAAAAACATCAACAAACCAGTCGAAGAAGGTTCCCCTTCCGTCTACGTCATCCTACTTCCGGCCTGAGTCTTCCGCTCCAGTCTAGCTCACACCTGGGAAGCCCGGAGGATTTAACACGCAGGGGACGGTAGGCGGGGCTGCCTTATGGGGCCGCCCCCTCCCTTCTGCGATTGGCCTTGCGGCCGTGGGTTCCCCCCCATCCCACCCACCCCGGGCCTGCGCCTGCGCAGAGGTCAAGGCAGCCGGTCGCACCTGATGGTGGGAGACAGTATCCCCTCCTCTTCCGCGGGCGGGAGAGTTAGGTAAGCCCCGCTGGGAACCCCCGGCACACTGGGCTCTCCTCGGGAGGCTGCACGCCAGCCCAGCCAACTGCCGGAGTGACCCCCGGTGGGTCCGTTTCCCCGGGCGCTGAAGCGCCACCCCTCGGGCGTGATCCCGGGGCTACCCGGAAAAGCCTCCCTGGAACCTGAGTTTCGCTCTCCGACTCCCAGTTTCCCTGGATCGCAACACCTGTGCTTTTTGGTTTTGCCCCTCCGTTGGTTCCTCGCCGTCCGCCCCCTGAGCCCAAGGCTGGGATGGAGTCCCGAGCGACCCAGAGTGGGTCTGGAGTCGGCCGCCCCACGAAGGCGCCTTCCCGCTCCCGGGCCTGGGGACCTGGGCCAGCTTCGGTGGCGGTGACAGCCGCGGTCGCTCCGGGCAGCCTGGGGTCTGACAGTGCTGGATCCAGGACCGGCGCACACTACACCTGCTTCACGCAGCGAGCCTTTCGAGTTTGGCTGCTGCTCCCTATATGAGGCCCATGTCTGCTGACAGCACCTGGGATTCTCTCCAGAGAGAATGGCTTCCGGACCCCTCTGCCCGACCTTGATGGGGAGTGGAGAATCTTTAAGAAACTTTCCCTGCGTCCCTTCTTACCATCTGCCCTCTTCCCAGCCCTGGGCTCTATCTTCAAATTAAAGAGGCTAGACTCTGAAATGGCTTTAGCGCGTGGGGCTTTGGACGTGCGTCCTAACTTAATCCTGTTTCCCTATTGGGAAAATATTTGCCTTTGAAAAGCGATTGTAGGGCCGAGGATTTAGCTCAGTGGTTCCACCGCCTGCTTCGCAAGCGCAAGATCCCAAGTGCAATCCTTGGTACCAAAACAAAACAAAGAAAAGCGATTGTGTGAATTAAATGAAGGCTATTATGACAACGCATGTTCACCCTTCTTTTACTCTAGTGCCCTCCGCCCCCAATTCTGTGGGTATGTTCTGTATTATATTTTTCCAAGGTGTTTGTATATTCTGGAGTTTTCACCACAGTGTAGACAAGTACTGCTTCAATAAGTCACTACTTAACATTAATAAATACAACATGAGCTCTCAGGTAATTTAAATACAGTAATGTAGTTTAGAGACAGTTTTTTTCCCTCTTTTCACTCGTGATCTTTTTTATTGGAATTTAGCACCTGTAACACGTTGTCCTTTTGGTATTTCTGGAAAATTGGAAACCCTTAGTTTAACATAATGTCTGTTGAACTCTCCATTGCCCTGACCACCATTTGATTATTAAGTGTGGACTTGGTGTTACTTGGCATTTTGTGGAGAATAGGAACTGTGATGTTAGGAATGAAAAAACATCAACAATTTAGCCAAAGTGTACTCACGGGTATCTAGAATGCATAAGTTATATTTCCAACTGGGCAGAGCATTTAATCCATGCGATTGATTTCCACTGTATGATTTTGACCAAAAATACTGAACTGCTTAATTATTCCTAATGCATGACCCTTTTGCAGAAACTCATTACAGATATTTAAGAAATTAGTAACTTTTTCCTTTTACATCCTGAGGGATATTTGTACCGTACTAATGTAACATAGGATGTTTCGAAACATACTTTTCCTATAGAAAATGGACTTTAGTTTATGGCTCATTTTTAGAAATATAAGTAGGACAATGGGAAAGTCATTTTAATGTGTTTTTGCTTTTCTTTTTTTTTTCTTTAGACAGCCACAAAAACACCATGAAAGATACTGACATCAAGACACTGCTATATGCTCATTTTCTATGCATATTTTCAGTTATTCTGAGTGTCCTTATTCCATCATTCTTTGTGGAGGATTTCTCAATACTGGACACACACTTGACGTGGTTGTGCTTCTGTTCTCTTTTTGTAACTTCAATCAATCTTGTATTATATTTAGTACCAAAGCCAAATTCATCCTCTAAAAGAAGTTCATTATCACATAAGGTAAGGATTACTTCTTACAGATTTTTGGTGGAGGTATTGTTTCTTTTAGTGGAAGAGTAAGTATTAGTCAAGTCCTCGGTTATTTATAGTGTGTAAAGGTTACGTGATTTCTTTTTCAAATCGGTAGCCTGTTATTTCCTGTCAAGGGGCCCACAGTGTTTGATAAATTCTTACCATGCATTAATTCTGAAATTAGGACTTCTATGGATATTATAGTAATGTAAGTCTGTATAATCGTTTTATGTCATCATTGAAGATAAATACATGTGGCCAACTTTAAACTTTATTTTGGAAGACAGTGCAGTTTATTTTCATTTATTTTTGCACTTCCAAAAGATAGTGAGTTTTTCAGAAATTGCAAGATAAGTCACTGTGGCAATCTTTTGTGTGTGTGTGTGTGTGGTAACCTATTTTAAACATGGCCTTCCTTGATTAACAGTTTAAAGTTTTCAGGTAATAGAATCAATTTTATGGAATGTTCATTGTACTGTAATAGTTGACAATTACTTTAAATTTAAATGTCTTCATATCCCATACTGTGTATAAACTGTTACTGCCTTGTGCTTTAAAAAGCTTAATATATGTTGTATAATTTTATCTTAAGGCCCAAGTCTAGTAAGTCCCACACATGAGCCTATTAGTAAATGTTCAGGTCTTTTTTTCATATGGTTCACGCAGTAATGTGAATGTGATTTGGAAAATTACTGAGTATTTTGCTTTTTCAGTTCAGTTTTCCCAGGAGTTCTGTTTTAAAATGAAAAAAAAATGTATCACTATTTTCTGTAGACATTTCATGTATAATAATAATAATACACAATAAGACTTTTTTGTGTCTTAATATTCTGTTAGCAATAAAAGTTTCATAAATATTAACAAAATAACAATACATATCATAGAAGCTGAAATATTTTTTCATTCTCATATCAGTTGGGTCTTTCAGGCTTTTTCAGATACAGTGACAGCTATGTGTGACTGGGCATAAGCCTTGTGATCTGACTTGAGGCTACCCAACAGAGAGCATTCAGCTGTTTCACACATATGGGAACAGGTATTTGTAGATAAAATGAAGGAATGTGTTGTCCTTTAGGCATTCTGTTCAGTCTCTAATGATTCTTTTTCAGGTAACCAGATTTTTGAAATGCTGTGTCTACTTTCTTGTGTCTTGTTTCTCTTTTCATGTGATTTTTGTTCTATATGGAGCACCACTATTTGAGTAAGTTTGAAATTTTTACTTTAAATTTGTATTTTAAAACACTCATTTACTAAACAATGTGTTAACTCTGTTATCAATTAGGGGAAAACTATGCTGGGTTTAATTAATGGGTCAAGATAGGATAACAATGTCATCATTCTTCTTTAGCATTGCTATCCTTTTAGAAAGCAATAGAATAACTTAATTCATTAAATGTTTCTACTACCTAGCCTTCTGCTACCCCGCTGTATATTGAGAGGAGAAAGAGAAGATGACAGACTATTTTGTATTACTGAGTATGGGGCTTTAGAACCTCTGAGGGAACTTACTATCGTGATATATATGTTGGTTATAATTAGCATAACAATTCTTTGTAAATGTGATCCTAAGGAAAGTCAATAGAACCTTGTATTCAAACAGTTAAAGATATTTATAGGTAAAATTTAACTCAACACTTTTTCGAAACTGACCAATTTCAAATTAGTGGAAACTAAATCCATGGAGTATATTTCACTATTATAGGTTAGCAGTTATTAAAGATCATGGTAAAATGAATGAAATATACACACACACACACACACACACACACACACACACAGAGCTGTGTATACAGTTACATATGTATATTTATATATAGTTGTATGTGCATACTTTAAACCAACAGGTTATTTTCTAGACGGGGAGGATAAGACCTTTGTTGTGGAAAATGGTAGTTTCTGTCGAATCCATCTTAGAGTAAAATGATGAAAAACCAAAAGTTTTCAGCATCAACTTTTATTTGTTTAGGGTCTCACTGTTGCCTTGGCTAACTGAAGATCCTCTGCCTCAGCTTTCTGAATAACTAGGATCATAGGCACGTGCCACTGCCCTGGTAGCACCAACATTTTAACAAATACAAATTCTCAGGCCTCAATCAAATTCTAGGGGAGAAGCCTTCCAGTCCTTTGTGTAGGCTCTCCAGGTAGTTCCAAAATCAGTTAAAAGTTGTACCATTGGCTGTAGAGAAAGTTCCAGAAACTGAAAAAAGATAGTCAGGTAGAAATTAAGTTTCTTGCAATGGAAGTCTTAGTATGGACCTTAGGATTTTTAACATTTCTGAAATTAATCATTAAAGGCAGGTATTTGCTAGATTAGTTTTTAAGACTTGAATTTCAGTGGTCAAATTATTTTTAGTCATCATTTTTGTGGGATGCATATAATCTTTCAAAGTAAAGTATAAGAAAATATTTTTATATTAAAATATGTGTGCATGAACATTTAGCATGTTTTTAAAATTAATAAAGTTTTTTCTTTCTAGGTTGGTGTTGGAAACATTTTTATTTGCAGTTATTTTGTCTACTTTTACTACTGTGCCTTGTTTATGTTTGTTAGGACCAAACCTCAAAGCGTGGCTAAGAGTTTTCAGTAAAAATGGGTAAGTTTTAATTTTACATTTTAGTGATATTAGTCATTTGTATGGTTCTCCAAGATGTTAGAGGGAGCCAGTGTATTTGATGAATGGGAACAAGGAATGGACAGTTTGAGAGGAGAGGGACCTAGGCAGGCAGAAGTATGGGGCCACTCCCTCCATGTTAGCAAGATCAGCTCTGCTTTTTTCTGTGTGATAGGATTCTACTTAGCCTTTTGTTTGAAAAAGAAAAGAAGTTTCCATTACCAAAATAAAGCTTTGAAAACTACTGGGATAATTTGCTAGCATGATAAAAGTGCTACAAATAAAATTGTTTACATCCATTTCATAATGTAGAAGTGGCATCCATAATCTAAAAATGTTTTGTACAATAACAGTATTTCTTGTTTAACCTTCTTCATGATAAGACAGAGTGCAGGTTTTACAGGATTTCATTTCTTTAGTAGGTATATATTTTCAACATAGATGTTAATATTTTAGCTTCTTCAGAGGCTTTGCAGTGATATATACCAGAAATGGTTGAAGTCTGACTAAGAAAACCAGAAAATAATTTGGTGCTCATAATGTTGTCCTATTCATCACCAAGCAGTAAAAACTTCTTGAGCACTTACTCTGTGCTTTGTGTTATGCTAAGCTCTATGTATATTCTACAATATTAGAAGACCTTTTTTTTTTGCCTGAGGAGCTTATATGTTCAAGGAATAAAAAGAATGAACAAAGAGAAATGAGATTAAACTTGTAGGAATCCAATAACCTGTGCTGTAGGAACTGAGAGGAGTAGGGGATCAGTGAAGAGTAGAACTAGAGAAGGAATGATCTTTGATAAACTTGGAACAGAAAAATGAATGAAATAATAGAAACTTACATGAACTTGGTATTTTTGTGGGATTTGGAAGGAAACAAATAGCCCAAGGACGGGGAGAAGAATGCGTGTTGGATAGCATGGCTCCAAAAATTACTTTTTCCTGTAATCCTTCTTACTCCAAACACTGAGGCAGTAGGATCACCAGTTTGAAGTCAGACTGGTCAACTTAGCAAGACCTATCTCAAAATAAAAAGGGTTGGGGGTGAAGATCAGTGGTAGAATGTTTGCTAGCGTACATGAGGCCTTGGGTTCAACCCCTAGCACGACAAAAAAAAAGAAAAGTAGCACAATTTTACACATTATTTGGTTAAAACATATATAAATAGTACATTAGTTATGACTTTTCTCATGAAAAGTCTTGAAATTTGCTTTTGGAAGTAGATACGGGGAGAGTTGTGAGTTATTTTGCAGTTTTGAAGGGCCATTGTTGAAAATATGACTGAAAATTAACATCAGATATGGATGGATGTGGCTCATGATTGTTGGTAAACTGAGGTAGCCAGGAGATTTTTTTTTTTAAGTATTGAAGCTATGTGGTGCATGCCTATAGTCCCAGGTGTGTGGAAGGCTAGGGTAGAGAATCACTTGAGCCCAGAAGTTTAAGGATAGTCTGGACTTGAAGGCAGACCATAGCTTTTGTTGTTGTTTTGGTACTGGAGATTGAACACTGACATATCCCTATCCTTTTTTTGTTTTGAGACAAGTTTTCACTAAGTTTCTCAGGTGGGACTCAGACCTGCGGTCCTGCTTCAGCCTCCCAAGGGCAGGTCCTGTTTTAAAATAAAATAAAAAAAAAAAAAAGCCCAAGTATTGGGATGCAATTCACACATCATATATCTTGCCTATTTAACGTGTACAATTTGTATATTCACAAACATCACCAAAGTCAATTTTAGAAGTTTAGTATTTTCATCACATGAAAAAAGAAATGCTATGTATCCTTTAGGTCAGTAATGGTGAACATTTTAGAGATGAGTGCCCAAACTGCAAACCCACCTACTTATTGCAAAGTGCCAACACCACCATTAAACCTGAATACTGAGATTTTAGTTTAGGAAAAACATCTCATAACATTAACATCTCTTGTCTTGAAAGAAAAGCAAGACGCATGCCATAGGTTCACCACCACTGCTTTAAGTTATCACTTCCTTATCTACCTCCTTCTCCATCCCCCTAGCATCCATTAATCTACTTACTGTCTCTATGGAGTACCTATCCTGGATATTTCATATTTTTTGGAATTGTACAATGTGTGGACTTTGTGACTGATTTCTTTCACTTCCTGTAGTGCTTTCAAAGGTTGCTCGTATTATAGCATGTGTTCTTTTTATGGCAGAATAACGTTCCATTTTATGAATACATGCCACATTTTATTTATCCATTCTTCAGTTGGGGGATGTCTGGGTCCTTTCTACCTTTTGGTTATTATGAACAAGTCACTGTAAACATTTATGTGCAGGTCTTTATGTGGACATATATTTTTCTTTTGGGAATGGTTGTAGCAGTGAGTGGCTGGGTCATATGGTAACTTCATGTTTAATCTTTTGAGGAACTTCTAGACTGTTTTCCAGAGTGGCTGCACCTTTGCTACACCAGTATTTGAGAGTTCTGGTTCCTCGTCTTCCTCAACATTATCTGACTTTTGGATTTTCACTATCTTCATGGGTGTGAAGTTTCATCTCATTGTGTTGTTTATGTGCATTCCCTGCTGACTAATATAAAAAAATTTTTTAATGTACTCATTGGCCATTGTATATTTTCATTGGATAAATGTCTCTCTCTATGTTCTTTGCATGTTTTTTAATTGGGCTATTTCTTTTTATTATTGAGTTATAGGAATTTTTTATATATGGTAGCTGTAACTCCTTTATCAGATACATGATTTGCAAATATTTTCACTTCCTTTTTTTGGGGTAGTAGAGATCGAACTTAGGACCTCAAGCTTGCCAGGTAGGTACTGTGCCGCTGAGCTAAATACCCGGCCCCCCTTCACTTTCTTGATAGTGACCTTTGAAACACAAAATGTTTTAATTTTGATGAAGTTCAGTTTAATTATTTTTTCTTTTGTTGCTTCTTCATTTAGGAATTCATTAGTAAATCCAAGATCATGAAGATTATGTTTTCTTCTAAAAAGTTCATGTTTAGTTCTTATATTCAGGTCTTTGATACATTTTGTGGGTTTCTGTATGTGTTTTGAGGTAAGGGTCCACCTTCATTCTTTTGCGTGTGACTATCCAATTGTTCCAGTACCAGTTGTGGCTGTTTTCTCCATTGAATGGTCTTGGTACCCTTCTCAAAAATCAATGATTGTAAACATGTCTTTTTATTTCTGGCCTCTCAGTTCTTTTCCCTTGACCTGCGTGATCTACCTATGCCACACATTATGATGATGTTAGATGTTTGAGGGGCACACTGTATATGTTTTGTGTATTCTGGTGCCATATAGTATATAGCTGGGTGCAATTTGTTGTGTTTATACTTAGTTTTTCTCATAGGTAAAATTGCTTATTTTTTCCTGTGTATATCAAATTGGAACAAATTTGAAACTTCAAAACAAACATTATGGTAGGGCTGACTATAAAAGTTTCTAATGTTTTTGCATTTTAAAAAGTTAAATGTTGGGCCGGGGATTTAGCTCAGTGGTGCCACGCCTGACTCACAAGTGCAAACTCCTGAGTTTGATCCCCAGTACCAAAAAGAAAAAAAAAAGGAGTTAAATCTTAAAGCTCAAAGGAAACAAAGACCGAAATTTTCCTAGTTTCTCCATAGTAACTTTATAAATTTAATATTTGTACATTTTTATGAGCCTGTTTTAACTCTGTTTCTACTTTTAGGCTGAGCTACATCTTACTTTCTCCTGAGAGGGGGGAGTGTTTTTTGTTTGTTTTATATAAGTTGCCTTTGAATCTTCTCAGATTTATTGTCATCTTGTCTTTATATCTATTAGCACTGTATCACTTCTTAGAAGGATCTGTAATAGAAGTAAAACTAAAAGTTATTGGAAGGGAAATAGTATTTTCTAACTAGCAGATTGACAAAGGTCAGGAAGTTTTAATAATACCATAGTGTGAAGGATTTGGAGAAGCAAGAACCAATGAAAACGTTCAGACTTTGTGAAAGGTAAGTTGGTTCAAACTGTATAGACAGCAATTACGAAGCACTTATATTACAGATGTACAACTTTGACCCAGCAATTGTACTTCTAGAATTTTATTCAGTAAATATATTCACACTTTACAAAATTTTGAATGCATGAGATTACTCACTTTAGCACCAAAAATCTACATATCCTTTAGAAAGGGATTTGGTTCAGTTACATTTAATCTACACCATGAAACACTATGCAGCTATAAACACACACACACAAACACACACACACACACATTTATTCTCTGTTAAATAGAAAAAAACAAGATGTAAAAATATATGTAGGAGGTCTGGCAATTTAGCTCAGTGGTGTCATTTCCTGCCTCGCAAGCACAAGGTCCTGAGTTTGATCTCTGGTACCAAAAAAAAAGTGTGTGTGTGTGTGTGTGTGTGTGTGTGTGTGTGTGTATGTATAAATGATACACACACACATATAGGATGCTGGTGTTTATGTAGAAAGTTGATGGGGGAAATAGATATACTATATCTGTGTATTTCTGGAAGGATACAGAAGAAACTGATAAAACACTGTTTGTCTCTGGAGAGGACATCTGAGAAACCAGAAGACAAGGTATGGAGACTTTTTTCCACTGGGTCCTCTTGACTGTCTTTTGAAATTGGAAACATATCAGCATATTTACGTCATCAAAATGAGAATTATAATGTCAGATTTTTCAATATTTATTTTTTACTTGACTATTAAAAGTTAGACCTCAAAAAAACAAAACAAAACAAAACAAAAGACCTGTGTTAAGAAGCTGAAAGGCAAGTCATGGAGGTGCATAATCTCTCACTACTTGGGAGCCTGAGGCAGAGGTTTGAATTCAAGGTTAGCTTGGGCTAAAAAAAGGCATGGGATGTAGCCCAGCACTGCCAGGGTTCAGTCTTCAGATCTGCAAGAGGAGAAGGAGCTAGTTTTCTCTGATGCTGCCTAAACTTTAGAAGATTGTAAAAGTTAACCTTCTAAGATTTATGTCTTACAATCAGAGAAAACAATTCATTTGCTAGAGGACAACCCTAAAAGTAATCAGTTTGTAATACAAGTATCACATAGGACATGACATTAAGTAGTGGTAATGCAAAAATAATTTAGTAACTTTTGAAGCATTTTCATGAATTTTATGAGATTTCTTGGAGTAATCTAGTGTAGTACTCCTATTTTTACCATTTTCTACATGAAGACCCAGGAAAGCTGAGAAGTGATAGCCAGTAACCACTAGAGTTTGGTCTTGAATGTAGATCAGTGATGACGAACCTATGGTAGGTACTCATGTTATTTGTTGTTCTTTTAAGACAAAAGATGTTAATGTATGAGTTGCTTTTTCTAAACTAAAATCTCAGTATTCAGTTTAATTGCAGTGTTGGCACTTTGTGATAAATACGACGGTTTTAGGTTGCAGTTTGGGCACTCATCTCTAAACAGTTCACCACCAATGATTTAGAATATGTCACATACAGTATAGAAGATTCCAATAATTGACAGTAACACTTCTCAGGGGCCAGATGATCTTAGACAAGCTACTCAGCTTCATAGATCTTCATGTGTAATAGGATGATAATAAAACTAACATATTTTGCAGGGTTATTGTCAGACCTGAGTAAGATAATGAGCAAAGTCCATACCTAGAAGGTGCTCAAGGATTTTGTCAAATGGATTAACAGATGTCAGAAAGCATCTTTGTATGTTACACTCCCCATCCTGACTGCAGTTGGTCAGCACTTCCTCACTGCTCACACAACATACCTAAGAGTGCAGTGCACGCCAGAGAAAGAGTAATGTTTTTTCAGTTGATTTGGCATGAAGTTTATTTGAACTTTGTCACCAGGGAGATCTTAAATCTTCATACCTCCTCCATAAATTAGTGAGAGTTCACTTTCCTCCCAGTAGTTTCATCACACAAGAGTTTAGTGTAGAAAACATGTCAAATTTTGAATGACTTAGAAAATAACTAAATTCATAGATTAATTTAACCTTAAAATTGGCCTTCATAAATGCTCACTTTTTATGCAGAAATTTAAAAAGTTTGAGTATATGTTGGTTCTGCAATGAAGTGTGAAATAGCTGTGATAACCCAACTAGTTGTCCCAATGTGCAGTTAGCATGAATTACAACTTTAACTTCAAAGAATTCTAGTATTACTTAAGACAGTTGTACAAGATAGATAGATAATGCATATTTTTCTTAAGGAGAACAAAAATTAAATTCCAATTTGAAGTTCATATAGTTCTAAGTATTTAAAATACCTTAAAGTATTGATTGGAAAGTTTAGCAGCTTAAATGCTGTTATTCATCCTGCATTTAAGGATATAAAATACAGAAGAGTCTTTTTTTTTTTAATTTAAAGCTATTTTTTTTAGTACTACAATATTGAAATATGAGTTGACTCTTCAGTGTGAGCAGGCCAATTTTGAATTGGCATGATATCTTAGTGTTGAATCAGTCTAAATGTTTTATACTACTTTTCAGTGAAATGACCTTATATATTCAATTTTAATGTATTTAATGCACATTTGTAAATAATTAGTATTGAGCAGTTGATAATCACATGAAGACTGAAAACACGAAAAACTTTGTGCTTGAGAACCTTGTTGAAAATACATCCTGAGAGTAAATGATCAATTCTAAAATTTTTGAGATTTAATACACAAGCAACATTATTTTTATGAGATTTTTCCTTGAAGTAAATTTAAACTTATTCCAAGAAAACAAAACGAAAAATGCTATTATAAAGAAACTTGAAAGTAGAAAAATCATTTTTTTTCTTTTTTTTGGTACCAGGGATCGAACTTGGGTCCTTTTGCTTGCAAAGCAGGTGGCAGAACCACTGAGCTAAATCCCCGGCTCATTTGTTTTCTTAAAACATTCTTACAGCTTTTTATTAGTATACTTTTTATAGAATATATAAAGTTGTACTAGCTTAATTCGGTTTATTGCCTTAGTGTTATAATTATTTTGAATTTTTTCTCATTCATAGACTTTTTATAAAGGAAAATAATAATCATAGACCTATGTTTTTCACTGGTTTTATTTTTTGATTTATCATTTCTTTTATGCTGTTATTTGAATGTTAGAACCTGAACACTTTTGGTGAACTAGTTTCCTGAAAACAACTAAACGTAGTTCCGTGGTAATTTTGCCAAAAATGACCTTTTTTATAGACAGACAGTAGGTCTCTTTTTGTCATTTTGTATTGAAATAAATTTTATATTAAAAATACTGTGGAGATTTAGAGCAAAATCCTGCTGGATTGACTAATATAAACAGTAGGGATTTAGAGCCAGCTCTGGTGGTGTGTGCCTATAGTCTTAGCTACACAATAGGCTGAGATTGGAGGATCACTAGAGCTTAAGAAATTCTAGACCACCCTGGCCACAAAAATTCAGTAGCAAAAGGCATTGATTTTAATATTCTTCAGTAGGGAAGAAAAAAGTTTGTATTAGAATTATATAAAACATTGCTTCTCAGCCTTTTGGCTAAGATCAAGAGTAGAATTATATAAAACATCTTTAGCCACTAGGAGGAGTTGTGCAGTATCTCTTTTTCAGATGAACAGATAAAATCCTCTTATACAGACACTGTTTTCATGGGCGCCTACCTAAGCCACAGGTGTTTACTGTTAACTGTCCACAGGACCTGATACAGTGTCTGGCATACAGGGTATACTCAAAATAGCCTGTTTCAGTTATACTTGATATAGTGCATTTTAGTGGAGTCAAATAATTTGGATAGGTGCTTGGACCTCCTTGCCATAAAGATTGATCTGTAACATCATTGTAGTCACTTAAG